TAGGCTATAATTAAATTTCAGTGTCTTGATTATTTTGATTGACTATTTTGATTAAATTAATATTTTGTAGTTCAAATGTATTGTAATAATTAACCAAAACATGGTTGCTAGTTGAAAATGTTTTTTCCATTTGCTGTTCTTTGTTTTTATACAGCCAATTTCACTTATTGAAGACTCTGTCTGTTCACAAATAAAATAAAGAAATTGCAAAATGATATTTAAGAATGATTTAATGAATGTTGCAGCTGCCCCTGTGAACTCCAGACCACTCTCTCCTACTCTATGCGCCTTTTCATAAAAAGTTTAACATATTTGTTAGTTTTAAAACTGCAACGACGTTTTATTAATGAAATTTAAGATTCTTTTGGAAAACACACACACTTTAACATTTCCATTATACAATTCCTGAAACCCTCTCATATCCTACTTATTTTTGTTACTATGTTCAATAAGGTTCAATAACTTTTAAAACATGTAAATTATTTTCATGTTGGGTGACACACTCGCTGGAGGCAAAATGTATGGCCTTTATTCAGCACATTTGGATCTGACAGCTACAGGCACGATGTGTTTGATGTACTGGCCACCAGCAGCATTTACCCCATCTAAAAAAAAAAAAAAAACTACAAATGAAAAAAATGAAACTACAATAAAACCTGCTATAGTGCACTGGAAAATAATTCTATGTTTATAATAGCCCCATTTATTTAATTGGAAAGAAAAAATCTAAATTATAGAACTGGATTCTATCTACTATCTAGGCTCATAAATCTCTCTGAAGAGAAAGTGTGACCACACTATCTGTAACTACAAGCCTGTAACATAATTTGTCACTTTTTCCATAGATGTGGCGTTCACATAAAAGTTATTTCACTTTGCACTTAAATACAGTTAAACATGTATGTAATTAGATGTATTAGTGAATTTCCAGGCGCAACAGCAAGTGCAAATGTGTGTGAGCTTGATGGTGTCAGGAGGGTCAGAAATAGCCAAGCTGAAAGATCTCTAAAATAATTTCATTCTTTTCAGTGTTTGAGAAAAATATATGTGTTATGGAGACTATAGATTCTGTCAATATAAATAGCTTAAAAGTAATTTGAATATAAGGAGTTTTCGGAAAAGGCGAACAGAGACTGTGGGCTTGTTTGGGCAGCTTAATTCAGAAAAAAAGAAAGGAACCTTGCCACGCGGCTAAATACAGCCTAATTCATGTTTTTTACTGTTATTGTACGCAGCCATGGGCTATTGATGAGTAGGCTACCGCTGTTTTATGTGTGTTCTTGAATGATGATCCTGTAACTCCAGCCTCCAGAATTTATACAGAACCAAGTGAACTGTTCCTATACAAATTAACCAAGACAATTGTGCACTGCAGCGCGTCGTAGGATTGCAGGATTTTGATTAATAGCCGTGTCTGGAATTCTCATTGGTCAAATAAAACCAGGAGCATGTGAAATTAATTGTACCAAATCACTAAGGAAAGTAGGCTATATTTTCCTCTATATTCCAGGCAGGGTATCGTCAGTAGGCTAATTTTCTCCACTTTCGTCCAGCCAGACTAAACTATTAGGCCTGTAAAATAATAGGCTTATTATTAAAAAAAGTCTCGATTATTTCCTGCGTTGTTCGATGATCATCTGACGAGCTTTTTAACAGCTAGTCATTGGTGTTCTAATTTGTGTATTACATTATGGACTTCATGAAAATCCCACCATGTCCCGTCTCGTTTTTTGTAGGTACAGCCACATGTTATGAAACTGATCAACTGAGCAAACTGTGATTTGTTCGTGATTCCGTTACGTTCATCTATAAAATGATATTAAAGTAACGAGTTGAGCGTGTTTTTGATCAAATATGTGTCCGTTAGAAGAGCGACATATCGTATGGTACGAGAGCATATGTCTAGAGACAGTGACTCAATGACAGAACAAGATCACTGAAAGCAACAAAGTATTTAAAAAAATTATTAAAAGAAAAAAATTATTTACAATAAAATATTTTAAATGAATAGTCAAGACTTTAATCAGACCAGACAGTTCCTCAAATTATTTATCAATCATTTCGTCTTTGGTTCTGCTGTAGCAAAACGTCAGGTTGATGCTGATTGATAATATCAATAACTTTGTCCAGAAGTTGCAAAATACGCGATTTTGTTTTTCTGGAGTACATTACTAGGCCTACTTTACACGGTAACATTCATTAGGCCACATCAATAACAAATATTTTGTAAATGCTTTGCAAAGCAGTAGCTAGCTGGTGTGGGCCAATATTCAAAAATGTAGTCCGTATGATAATATATGAAACAAAGTTTAATAACACGGTTTGAATGCACAACTTAATGATCTGCATTATAAGCCTTATGTAGGTCTAATGTAATACTATTTGTTTATTTTATTATTAAAATGAATTATAATGTGTTAGCATACTGTTTATTTCAAGATCTAATATTTTCTTGAGGCAAGAAATCAGGCAAGGGTCCTATAGGCGTTAAATAAGTTGGACCTCAGGTAAATTGAGGGGGTTGAATGCACAACTTAATGATCTGCATTATAAGCCTTATGCAGGTCTAATGTAATACTATTTGTTTATTTTATTATCAAAATGAATTATAATGTGTTAGCATACTGTTTATTTCAAGATCTAATATTTTCTTGAGGCAAGAAATCAGGCAAGGGTCCTATAGGCGTTAAATAAGTTGGACCTCAGGTAAATTGAGGGGGAAATTTGTCACTTTTTCCATAGATGTGGCGTTCACATAAAAGTTATTTCACTTTGCACTTAAATACAGTTAAACATGTATGTAATTAGATGTATTAGTGAATTTCCAGGCGCAACAGCAAGTGCAAATGTGTGTGAGCTTGATGGTGTCAGGAGGGTCAGAAATAGCCAAGCTGAAAGATCTCTAAAATAATTTCATTCTTTTCAGTGTTTGAGAAAAATATATGTGTTATGGAGACTATAGATTCTGTCAATATAAATAGCTTAAAAGTAATTTGAATATAAGGAGTTTTCGGAAAAGGCGAACAGAGACTGTGGGCTTGTTTGGGCAGCTTAATTCAGAAAAAAAGAAAGGAACCTTGCCACGCGGCTAAATACAGCCTAATTCATGTTTTTTACTGTTATTGTACGCAGCCATGGGCTATTGATGAGTAGGCTACCGCTGTTTTATGTGTGTTCTTGAATGATGATCCTGTAACTCCAGCCTCCAGAATTTATACAGAACCAAGTGAACTGTTCCTATACAAATTAACCAAGACAATTGTGCACTGCAGCGCGTCGTAGGATTGCAGGATTTTGATTAATAGCCGTGTCTGGAATTCTCATTGGTCAAATAAAACCAGGAGCATGTGAAATTAATTGTACCAAATCACTAAGGAAAGTAGGCTATATTTTCCTCTATATTCCAGGCAGGGTATCGTCAGTAGGCTAATTTTCTCCACTTTCGTCCAGCCAGACTAAACTATTAGGCCTGTAAAATAATAGGCTTATTATTAAAAAAAGTCTCGATTATTTCCTGCGTTGTTCGATGATCATCTGACGAGCTTTTTAACAGCTAGTCATTGGTGTTCTAATTTGTGTATTACATTATGGACTTCATGAAAATCCCACCATGTCCCGTCTCGTTTTTTGTAGGTACAGCCACATGTTATGAAACTGATCAACTGAGCAAACTGTGATTTGTTCGTGATTCCGTTACGTTCATCTATAAAATGATATTAAAGTAACGAGTTGAGCGTGTTTTTGATCAAATATGTGTCCGTTAGAAGAGCGACATATCGTATGGTACGAGAGCATATGTCTAGAGACAGTGACTCAATGACAGAACAAGATCACTGAAAGCAACAAAGTATTTAAAAAAATTATTAAAAGAAAAAAATTATTTACAATAAAATATTTTAAATGAATAGTCAAGACTTTAATCAGACCAGACAGTTCCTCAAATTATTTATCAATCATTTCGTCTTTGGTTCTGCTGTAGCAAAACGTCAGGTTGATGCTGATTGATAATATCAATAACTTTGTCCAGAAGTTGCAAAATACGCGATTTTGTTTTTCTGGAGTACATTACTAGGCCTACTTTACACGGTAACATTCATTAGGCCACATCAATAACAAATATTTTGTAAATGCTTTGCAAAGCAGTAGCTAGCTGGTGTGGGCCAATATTCAAAAATGTAGTCCGTATGATAATATATGAAACAAAGTTTAATAACACGGTTTGAATGCACAACTTAATGATCTGCATTATAAGCCTTATGCAGGTCTAATGTAATACTATTTGTTTATTTTATTATCAAAATGAATTATAATGTGTTAGCATACTGTTTATTTCAAGATCTAATATTTTCTTGAGGCAAGAAATCAGGCAAGGGTCCTATAGGCGTTAAATAAGTTGGACCTCAGGTAAATTGAGGGGGAAAAAATATGTATTTTCTAAAAAGCCCAATTCCAAACTTATCAGTTGAATAAGATCATTTTAGCATTTTGCAAATACTGTGGTGCAAAATGGACAGGGCTACACATTCACCAAACTGCAAATCGCTTACTTCAGACACTTCTTAACCAGTAACCATAACCAGTGTCTTTGATTAAAAGGATCTTTCTGTGAAAATAAGTAACCTCACTTCGAAAATATTGTGTTACCACATATTTACTTTTACTGCGTAAACACGCCAAAAGAAGTTTAATGCGCGGTGTGATGGGGCTCAGTTAGGCCATACACAATTCTGCATAAAACACAACCCGCATTCGATGAGCCTCAGAGATATGGGGCAAGAATCTGACACAACATGAAACGAAAAACAGCCACGAGGAATTTTACATTATTCATGGGTATTATTATTATTATTATGGTTGACTTTGCTGCTGTCATTTGTGGTGCCATGTTTAAGAAAAAACGTCACATTGCCACAAGTTTTCGAAAAAATTACTTTTTAATAATTTTTTTTTTTAGAATATTTATGAAATACCAATGAAAAGCGTAAAAAGCACAATATATGCCGATAAAAAAGTCCATGATACTACAGCCTTCAATGCTGAGAGAAAGATCATTCACTACTAACCACCCCTCAGGTCCCTGGAAAAAGTTCACTATGACTTTTCGAGGCCCGCAAAAGTTGGCGTAATCAAACAAACAGACAAAACATATGTAGTATAAAATCAGGCCAAGTGGTTAGGTCTGTGTAAGTGCCAACATAAAGGCATCGGTGCACAATGATCCAAAGAGGCCAATTATAGGTCCGTCTGTGTCCCGGAGACAAACGTATTCGCACGGATCGGGGTCTTCTCATTTATTCCTCTTGGTTTGCATCAGAAAGTGAAGAAGCACCGCCGTCGGATAAGCGGTCCGCTTCTCGTATCGCCTCCTGCTCCGACAGCTGTTCGCTGGTGGGGATGGAGTTCTTTTTTGGACGGCCCTTGGGTTTGGTCGGAGATTCTAGCCCACCTCCTTGCAACACCTTCAAAGCAACAACGGTAGCCTACACATAAGTTTACATTTTCACAGGTATGTCAGTTGAATCATAATTGATATGCTTATTATTAGAACTTACGATTTTTTTCCATTTCATTCTTCTGTTTTGATACCATGTTTTGACTTGAAGCTGACTCAGGCCTAGAGACTCCGCCAGGTCTATTCTGTAAAAGAGAATGTTGTCCACTAAGCCATTTCTTAGACAACACCAATATGTTCTTTGCATGTAAACTGTAGGTCCATAATTATGCTCATAACAAGATAATACAGTTGGGTAAAAAGTGAAACACTGACATTGGTTTCAATACGTTAAATACTTGACATTAAAAGCGTGTTTACCTGTCAGGAGTTGAGAGATACTTTTGTTTCTCAAATCGTTTTTCCAAGCCCATCAGCTGTAGCTCGGTAAACACAGTCCTACTCCTTCTTCCTTTCTTAGTCTTGCTTACTGAATCAGCTCCAGGGTCGAGTTTACCCCGAAGATGGAGGTCCAGCGGGAGATGATGGGACGAAGACCCCATCTGCAGACCCGCAGCTCCGGACAGAAGCGCAGAGCCCAACGGCGCCCCGAGCGAGCAGGACAGAGGAGACACTGGAAACTTAAGGATACTGGTCTGGTCTGCTTTCAGGACTGGAATTGAAACAATTATATGTGTGTGTATTAGTCATGATAATCTAGTCGGAACTACAGCTTGGTGATAGTGACATTTTCATATCAGTTAGAAAAAAAAAGCGTTTGGATGAATCCGTAATGGTTCATCATGGTGAAAATGGATTTTATGTGCAACTTTATATAAGCTTATAAAATAATATCAGTTACATAATATAACAGTTTTCCTGATCGATCTAGCTGTTAGCTACAGTTCAATTATATGCTTTTGATATTTGAATTTTTACGAAAGATACTATAAATCTTCGATAAACAGACTGATTATTTAAATGGAATCTTAGATACATTTTTGCTTACATCTATCCATCCATAACGGGTGGTATCATTTACAAATTGAGTCTTATTTTTCATACATGAATATTTGTACGTCAACCTCGAAATTAGCTGCATTATGCTTCCTCCGTGTAAAAATGTTTTAATTACAACATCTTTATTTCCAAACGTTTAACTCATCACAATAATTTTAGTCTTCTCTACTCGATTTTTGCAGTTTCAACTGAATTTTCTTCATCTGTAATTAAATTCAAAGATGTTGAAAAGTGCAATAAATGTATCAATGCAATCTGTAACTTTGGCACCACTATTATTTATTTTACAATTTAAGGCGGCAAATGAAACACTTTTTTATTGTCATGAATTGATTTTTTTTTTTTTTAGCACGGGCTGGTAAGAACTTTCTTTCCCGGAGCATCAATAGAAAAGCAAGAAATGCACGCAGTGGGGCCTGAACTGAACGTGCATTTGCGATTTTTATAAGTTTGCTCGGTCCATTGCATTGCATATATTTCGATCTGAGATATCTGATTTGTTTTGTGTATGGTCCACAGAGACAATGTGGAGTCTTTTCTCTTTGAGTAGGCAAATCGAGAGGTTGTGCAATTTGAATGTCCCTATTTTAAGAGAAGGTTAAGATTAAGGGATTGCCCATGCCGGATCTCAAAATATCGTCTGACTGAAAGGCCACGGTACTTACCTAAGTGGTTGTGGTATGGTCTGGCGGACAAATTTACCTGTCAGGAGTTGAGAGATACTTTTGTTTCTCAAATCGTTTTTCCAAGCCCATCAGCTGTAGCTCGGTAAACACAGTCCTACTCCTTCTTCCTTTCTTAGTCTTGCTTACTGAATCAGCTCCAGGGTCGAGTTTACCCCGAAGATGGAGGTCCAGCGGGAGATGATGGGACGAAGACCCCATCTGCAGACCCGCAGCTCCGGACAGAAGCGCAGAGCCCAACGGCGCCCCGAGCGAGCAGGACAGAGGAGACACTGGAAACTTAAGGATACTGGTCTGGTCTGCTTTCAGGACTGGAATTGAAACAATTATATGTGTGTGTATTAGTCATGATAATCTAGTCGGAACTACAGCTTGGTGATAGTGACATTTTCATATCAGTTAGAAAAAAAAAGCGTTTGGATGAATCCGTAATGGTTCATCATGGTGAAAATGGATTTTATGTGCAACTTTATATAAGCTTATAAAATAATATCAGTTACATAATATAACAGTTTTCCTGATCGATCTAGCTGTTAGCTACAGTTCAATTATATGCTTTTGATATTTGAATTTTTACGAAAGATACTATAAATCTTCGATAAACAGACTGATTATTTAAATGGAATCTTAGATACATTTTTGCTTACATCTATCCATCCATAACGGGTGGTATCATTTACAAATTGAGTCTTATTTTTCATACATGAATATTTGTACGTCAACCTCGAAATTAGCTGCATTATGCTTCCTCCGTGTAAAAATGTTTTAATTACAACATCTTTATTTCCAAACGTTTAACTCATCACAATAATTTTAGTCTTCTCTACTCGATTTTTGCAGTTTCAACTGAATTTTCTTCATCTGTAATTAAATTCAAAGATGTTGAAAAGTGCAATAAATGTATCAATGCAATCTGTAACTTTGGCACCACTATTATTTATTTTACAATTTAAGGCGGCAAATGAAACACTTTTTTATTGTCATGAATTGATTTTTTTTTTTTTTAGCACGGGCTGGTAAGAACTTTCTTTCCCGGAGCATCAATAGAAAAGCAAGAAATGCACGCAGTGGGGCCTGAACTGAACGTGCATTTGCGATTTTTATAAGTTTGCTCGGTCCATTGCATTGCATATATTTCGATCTGAGATATCTGATTTGTTTTGTGTATGGTCCACAGAGACAATGTGGAGTCTTTTCTCTTTGAGTAGGCAAATCGAGAGGTTGTGCAATTTGAATGTCCCTATTTTAAGAGAAGGTTAAGATTAAGGGATTGCCCATGCCGGATCTCAAAATATCGTCTGACTGAAAGGCCACGGTACTTACCTAAGTGGTTGTGGTATGGTCTGGCGGACAAAAGGGCATGTACTCCAAATTTGAGAAGGTCTCCAGTGGGACTTGATATCTTGTGATCCGGATGGTCTGTAAGAATCTCTTCAATCATGAAACTCCTGTACCTGTGAGACCTTTGGTCTGGATGGACATCCGGGGGGTAGTAGTGCGCCCCAATCTCCAAAGGATGTTGCATTATTATAGTTTTAACGTAGCAAATGTTCTCCGAACCTCCTGGAAGCCTGTAGAAACCTTGAGGTCACATCGAGGATTCAGATGTCCTTGTGAGGCACCGAGGCATAAATGTCCATTCAGATTTTTAGATGCGATGATCATTAAAAAAAAACATCCTTACGTTTGTGGAGAACTTTTGAAATACGTAAAGAAGACTTTGACTGACGCTCAACGCTCAAAATACGAGTGAAATTGTTTGCTTTTCTTTTGAGGAGTTTGTGAATGTGTGGTCCCGTCCACGCAGCTGGAGTGAGAAGTCTGATCCGCCCAGTAAGGGCAGCCTGTTTCTGTTCTTACCGCACCAACCCGAGCTCTGAATCAGGAACATAGACATCCGAGTTTAAGGAGGTCTAGCACAACGCCACACCTCCTCCTCGGCATGCTTGGACACCCTCTGTAAATAAAGGGAAAACACATAGTCAAAACATTGATCTTGTCGTGCTCCTTTTTAAATGTCTTCGATCATTTGAATAAGTTTACTTTTAAAGCGGGTCAGTAATGCTTTTTGGTCGTATCTTTTATATTATCCTAAAATACAAAAAATCCGTTCCTATAAAAATGATTTGAATACACTTTTTCTATGAAGATGCTTCCATTTCTGAACTTGAAGACTTTTTGTAGGTCTTATACATCTAGGTCTACATGTGTTTTTTGCACTTGATTTCTACAAGATTTCTCTTTTCGAAGTTTATTTGTTGCTGATTAATCGCGTTCTTGTGTACAGCCTATAAGCTTAACAAAGAAATAGGTTGTATAATTAAATTACATTAGAGACACATTATTTTATTCCATTTAAACTTGCAAAAAAATAAACGAAAGTCTTGGCAAAATGAAACTGAATAAATCCTCTCGAAACAAAGATAGGCTATGAGCTTATCATAGAATGGCACATAACCTTTTTAAGCAATAAGGCCTTTCATGGTTATTAATAAATATCTATTACATGTTATATTAAATTCAAATTTAAGAGATTAGGGTCTTTAAAAACACGTCAGCAAAAATGTCTTGCGAGAATTTAAAGAACTTAATATTAGTAAATATTTCGCCGGTATATTATTTGCGCTGATGCAACGCACTTTAAATATTAATAGGCTATATATATATATATATATATAGGCCTAATGTAGTTCAAAAAGAAAAAAAAAAGGTTTTAACTGTCCTTTTTAAGTGCAGTATAGGCACACAGTTTAACATTTTGCTTGTGATAATTTATAGCCTAATGGAAAAATATAAAACGTTTCTTTACGTCTTATTTTGCGCTTTTATAATTCGATGATTAATAAAACAATTTTGAATAATTTATAGCAGTGGTTCTCAATTCCAATCCTGGGGTACCACTGCTCTGCACATTTTGTACGTCTCTCTTATTTAACGCACCTGATTCAGATCATCAGCTCGTTATGAAGGGAGATCCATGAACTGAACCGAGGGCGTCAGATACGAGAGCAGTGTTACCCCAGGACTGGAATTGACAACTACTGATTTATAGGATATTCACCATCGTTATGAAATTCTTGTGAAGACGAGAAGTAGGCTAGCTTTTCCCCCCTGAAAATGCCCTGAATCCATTTAACATGGTGAAGTGTTGCAATGAAAATAGGCCCTACTGTTTGAGGTGGTATGTTCAGGCATGTTCATCAGAAACGAGGCAAATTATTACATCTTTTTTTATTTTTGTTCATTATTTTATTTTATTTGATGTAATCCCGATTCATATTGAAAATGTCATAAATAACACAGATATCTTTAATTGTAAAGAGACACTGCATGTCAGCGCTAAAGTCACACCTTCGGGCATAGAATAGACCACTGAGAATTACATGTGTACTGTCTTTTGACAGAAAGGATGTTTTAAAGTATAGTAATGTTAGTTTATGGCGCGTCGTCGATTTTAACATTGACGCCATATACAGCATGCATATTTTCTTTTTCGTTCTTTTCTTCATCTTCTTTCTTCTTTATCATACTCGGTTTATCTTTGTCTCATCATGCGAAATCATACTATTATATTTTCATAAAGTGCGTACCTATATCTGGATGTTCAGTATTATAATGACTGTTGTAACGTTTTGTTGTGTGATTATTATTATTATTATTATTATTATTTTAAATATTGAATTGACCTATTTGCACGTTACAGAAATAAAGATAATGTCAGGGACATTTCTGTAAAGACATTTTCTTAAAAAGAAAGAAAGAAAGAAAGAAAAAGAAATCGTTATACACATTCAACCCCTTCTCAGTATTCACCTAAAATAATATTCTACATAGTAGGCTAGGTGGCCTCTTGTGGGAGCGCTTCTGTATTTCAACCACTAGGCGACATCATGTGAATACTGGATTGCAAAGAATCAGTGCATAGGCTATATATGAGCAGATCTAATTATCGATCTATTTATTTATTTTTTAATTTAAGGCCAGTTTAGGTCAGTCTTCCACTAGCTGCATGTGTGCATTACATTCACTGTTCAGATATGTCGTTTTAAACTGCATAATTAACCAGTGGGGGTTATAACCATTTGCCATGCAATATTGTGGGACCACTTCAGCAAAAGCTTAGTGTGTTAATCTACTGTGTGCTTAACCATGTGCTCCACCAAGCTTCTTACAAGACACCCCTGGTCAGTCTAGACTCTACTATGCACTATCATAAGCCTCCATCTAAATTGATCAGGCATATTTTAGAATTTTGAAATGTTTAAAACTCACCAATTCATTAGCAAATGTGTGGCACAAACCTTAATTATTAGAGGCCATATTGAATTTAAAGCGGTCTTTACAAATAAACAACATCTACTTCTATCACTTACAGCCTAAATAAGGTCTATTGACTATGTGAACACCTTTTACTAAAGGTCAGATGTTCTTGCTTCGATTGAAACACAGGATGCTATTGGATCATTCTCAAATCATGTGGGATAATATGCGTTAATTAGGTTTTACACAAATTGTTCGCACAGCTCGAGTGCTGGTGACATTAAAGCAAATAATAGCAAATACTAAAACCTCGACTTTGTGCTTCTTATAAATGAATATTCTTATAATTTATAGTAAAAATATCCAATTAGAAAATGTTTTAATAGAGGCATTTTCATATGTGGGCACTATATTATTTTATTATATATTACAGTCGTCTTGATTTTTATACATAAGCTAATGGCAAAGACGTTTGCATTCGTGACTACCTTATGAAATATGATTTCATCATTTGCGATGGCAGAGATATCTATTTGTAAGTTCTTCAGTTCATTAATTCAAGAAGATGAAGTACATGCTTAAGGTCGATAACACTCAAATGTGCTGTTCCTCGAGTGTTCAACTTCAGTCCCATTCCCTCCCATGCGCTCATCGCTCTTCAGCCGTGCTTTACAGCCCCATTTGATCACATGACCACGGATCGGCCAATAACAAGCCTTATCTGTTTCCTCCAACCTGTTACAGTGTAACATCCCCTTGAGCAGCGAAACTGATACAAATGCACGCGACACTGTCTGTTGTTGATGAATGCTTTTGCATTTCACCATGATCCTAATGGAAACAATGGTCTGTAGCTAACAAAAACCGGATATAGGGACCGAGGTATGTAACAATCGGACACATGAGCCCTAATGTTAGCCTTTGCTTTTAGCACAATAGCAATAAAGGTTAGTTATCTGAGAGGTGCACTGCAAAAGATTAACCATACAGTCAATTGGTTCATCTAGTGTTCTGCTCTTTAAACTCTTTTATTGTGTATTTGCGTCTCGGTTTGTTTTGAAATGGTGTATATAAGGAGAATAGTATCTATACAGGAATGCTAGATCTACAGAGCAAAAGGTAAAACAAGCTGCATTGTCCTTTTGGTGAGCTTTAATGCATGTTACTGTCAATCAGTGAATGTTACACATGCATTCATTTCTGGAATGAAAGCAGTTAACACAGATGAGATACTGGAAATGTGTATTATAAACTTATGTTTAGTCTTTTGAAAGCATGCTGTTATAGAGTTTGATTCCTCTCATAATAACAGTGATATACTTAGGATGACTTTATCATCCAGTGTGCAGAATAATATATTGTTTTAATTGACAATTTCCGCCATGTTTTTATCTTGTTATTATAGTGTGGTTCAAGCTTAATTTGTAAACTTAAAACAATCTATAATTTATCTATATTATAGATTTTTTATAGACAAATATAGACAGATCCTTGTTTGAAACAGTTTAAGGATAATTTGAACCCTAAAGATTTTTATATATATAGATATGTTACTGTTAAAAAGAAAAAGAAAAAAAAGGTGATTACAAACCCGAGCAAGAGAGAAGGCTGTTGTTGGTCTGTACCATTTTTGTTGGATGTACTAAAATCTATAATTTATTGGTTGCTTGTATATGTGTTACTCTAGTGGTATAGTTTTTATTTGGCAAGTTTGCGTTCCCAGATTCAAATCAATTTTTTCAAACATTTTATTAAACATTTTAAGCTGCACTGTATTGTCATACACTTTGTACAACACAACAACAACAAGAATATATTATGTATGTATTTATTTTTGAATGTTGCATATAAAATGTACTTCACTCCGTAATCAGGGAAGCAGTACATTACAAAAACAAATTTCTCCTCTTGACCTTGAGCTGGATTTCATGATGCAGTTTAGTCTGGATGTCTTATGTTGATGTAAATAAACTCTTAGCTGAATGTTTCCCATGATAGATGTCTGCATAGATCTGTAGCTGCAGAAACATCACGTGTGCTTGGTGGTTTCTAAAGAAGAGGGCATGTGAAGGGTCAGACACTGAGCCAGCAACAACAGCAAGATTTCTCTAAACGCTTCAGTGAGTGCTATGATTGGCTGAGGCAACACTGTATCTGAAAGGCCGTGTAAGCCTAACTAAACACATTCACTATAACATTTAAGCTGTCATTTACAGTATGCTGAGAGGTTGTGGCTTAACAGTACAATAAGGGACATGCTGAATAAACTACAGCCTTTAACTCTAAAGATAATTTCATGGTTTATTACATAAACAACTGCCATTTTTTCATCAAAATAGTAACTAGTGGTAACAGAAACCAGTCAGTAGTTTGGATAATAATTAATGCATAATAATAATTGTGCAATTTTAGCGAAAACACTAGTCTGATATATAAAGTATGTATACAGTCCTTTTCATAACTCTGTTGGTTTTGAAAACGCTTTGAAAAATCAGTTCAAAGTTTAGATGAAAGTGATCAGCGCCCTTTGATTAAATCCAGTGGGCAGCGTTCAAGGATTCACCCAAGCTCAGACTCCAACAGCTTTTGTAGGGTGACAGCTGGAATATTGTTTGCAAGCATGTTCATAATGTTAATTTATTAAAATGCATTATAACGATTATAAACACTTGAAGTGCAGGACTAAAATAGGAATAAATTAAGGAACTAAAATGATCTTAAAATATAAGACTCAAGACTGACTTGAAAGCACCTGAGATATAAGGTGTCTCTTTTATATTGAAGTGTTGATCAGGATTAGGAAAAATCCATTCCTAATCCGATGAATAGCACGCACTGATTGACTCGTGTCAGGTTGAGGTTTTGGGTGGCTCAGGTGGGCATTCACTTGGTCTCTGTTGGATCAGTGATCAAGGAGAAGTGTACGTTACAATGACTCATAATGCCACTCTGTTGTCATGCGTCTTCTCATTTTACAGTGTGAATTAATCATAGCGTATCAAATGACTGCTAACATCATCCTGAATATGCCAAAGATCACTACAGAAACCTAACGCAAATAGTCATTACTTAAAGCAGCACTATTCTAATCCACTTTCATTGTTAAAGATCAATAAGTTAACTTGATGGAAATGTTCATCAAGACAAAATTTGAATGTTGGCTTGATAAGTCCTTGTTTGAAACAGGATAATTTGAACTCTATATATTTTTATATATAAATAATTGTAAAAAAAAAAAAAAGATATAACAAACCAGAGCAAGAGAGAAGGCTGTTAGTCTGTACCATTTTTGTTGGATGTACTAAAATTATAATTAATAAAAATTAATGAAATTTATGTATACTTATTTAAAAAAAAAAAGATAAAACATGACAAAAACAACAAAATTACTTAATCTAAAATGAAAATGATTTTTTTTTAACTAATTCAAAACATTAATTAATATCTCGAGACATTTTTTTTCTTTTTTTTCAGAGTAGCATTAATTTTTTAATTGAATTTCATAGAATATAGATTTTGGATCATCAGCTACAAGAGAACTTTTATTGCAAGTTAGACAAGGTATAGGAGTAAGTCAGAACAGGCTGTAGGTCTTTGCAGAGTTCATTCAGGGTTTCCGCGGGTCTTTAAAAAGACTTAAATTTAGTTCAAATCAAATTTAAGGCCATAAAAAGTCTTAAATGGTACAAGAAAGTCTTAATTATGATTTCAAGAGGTCTTAAATGTGTGGATGGAAAGACAAGAATTGCAATATGGCTTAATGTGATGATTAAACTTTCAAAGTCAGGTGCTGCTCTGCTGTGTGTACTGTGGTTATCGGGGAAACCCCTATATTTCTGCAGTTCTGAAAGCGCCACCTGCTGGCAGAGAATGAATTTGCATTTTCAATCAGCCCTTCTGGTGTTTTTGTTCAGACAAATGTGAAAATCAACCCATGTTTTTATGCTGCAAAGACGCAGAGTTGTAAATGTGAACTGGTGGATTGACAAGCAGATAATGCATTATAAAAAGCTAAACAATTAATATTTATAGGTTATTTAATTAATATAATAATTGATTGATAATAATTGTTTAATTAATATAATAATTGATACTTTTGACACATCCATTTTCTTGAAAATGGTTTAAAGGCTGAAATGTGAAGTTTATCATTTTATAAAACGTTTTGTTTTTGTGAAAACCTGTATCTGAATGGTAAATCATACTTTTTACAGTCATTTTACAGTTTAATATGTTACCATAGACATTGCCCTACCCCACTCATATGGTATTAATTTGATCTGTGCAGGTCTTAAAAAAGTCTTAAATTTGAGCTTAAAAATCCTGCAGATACCCTGTCATTGAATATAACTCCTCTTAGTGCTTTCAAACTACATTTAGAAAGTGTGATTAGGAATAAACTCCCAATTTTGCACAATAAAAGTATTATACCATTCTCAGACCAAAGTAATTTATCATGCAAGATATTAATAAGCAGTAATGTGAAAATCCAGAAGTAATAGCTCTGTTTTAGAGCATGACCGTTACAGCCATTGCTGCTCCAATCTGTGATTAAAGTAATGGATATTACAGCCACAATAGTAATGTGAGTAGTCACCGCTGACACTTGATATGCAGTGGAGTGCAGGGTTAAACTGACACATTGAAGTTTCCATAGCTTCTCTGTACATACTAGCATAGAATAGAAAAAAACCCTCACTTAGTTCACACAACAACAAAAGACTGGAAATCTGTAGTCCTCTCATTCATTTATAAGGTTAATTCCTGTAAAAATCTTGATTTATTTTTATTTTTATGGAAAACAACAGCATTGTTGGTTTCCTAAAGAGTCAAGATCACCTTTAAATATGTAAAGTTCTTTATTATACACTCTATTCTTATCTAGAGCTTTTGAAGGGAAGAGGTTGTAACCACTTTTCTCATTATATATGCCACTTGCAGTGACGCTAGATCCAATGTGTGACACAACACCACACTTAGTACATTTTCCTCCCAGGAGGGAAAACTCCCCAGCAACCAGCCTTGCAACTTACACATTTATGTTGTGTCCTGACTGTTTACCCTGCCATTGTTTTGTGTCGGAAGCTTTGA